GAGGATGAAATGAGCGTTGTGCCCAGCACACAGCAGGCAGCCTTCCACACCCGGAGCTCTGGTTTTCGGGAGAGGGAGGGGAGGAAGCCGGTCTGCAGGGGCCTGCAGGCAGGGGCACGGACCGACACACAGACACATCCCATCCTCATCCAGAAAAGCCACTCGCTGTTCCACAGGAAGGGCAGGACGGGGCCCCGAGTGGCTGGCTGGACTGTGGGGGGGGAAGGCGAGTACGGAGGGCAGCTGGGGGCACCCCCAGGACTGGGCCCAGCCCAGACTGCCGCTTCCCAGCCTCCTCCCCTGCCGCTGAGCTTCTGAGACGCCCCTGAGCCTGAGGCGGGGTGGGCTACACACCACAGTGGGTGACGGGCAGTCCCTTCGCCCCCTCGACCCCGTGCCCAGCTCTGCCCACCCCTGTTCCTTTCGGCAGAGTCCTCCTCATCTGGAAAGACCCAAAGTGAACAGCACTTCCTCAAACCCATGCTCTCCCCACTGCCCCACTCAGCCGCGGGGCCTGTGGCGGAGCCAGGCTGCATGCTTGCCCCCGGTGACTGACCCTGGGCACATGGCTCACCCCTCCAAACCTCAATGTCCAACCTGCACAGTGGGAACAGGAGTACTGCCCCCAGAGCCATTGAGAGGGTAAAATAAGACATTAAGCCACACCTGGCACATACTAGGTGTTCAGGAGACGCAGCTCCCACAGGGTAACACCCAGCCACGACCCACCTGAGTGGGAATCCGTCTCCCCGGGGAGCCCTGCGGCTGATCCCAAGGCCCACGGGCCTCAGACCTCTGCACTGGCTGTTCCCCCGGCCCCCGGAGCTCTTCCTCTGGGGGGCCTGCATGGCGAGCCCAGGCTGCTGCCCTTCAAGTCCATGTTCCAAGGCCACCTTCTCAGCCACGCCCTCTCTGACCGCTGTTTGCAGCTTCAGCCACCGGCCCCTACCCCAGTGCTCCCTATTCCCGACGGAAGTTTCCCCGCAGAGAATCATCACCGAGCATTCGTTACGTGGTTCTCATTCACAGCACCTGTGGTCCACCCCCCCGCCCCCCGAGCTAGGACTTAACGGAGCTGGATGCACACAGTTCTCACGGGTCTTGTCCACACTGCTTTCCCCAGTGCCTGCGTGCTTGGCACGTAGTTGGTGCTCCCTAAGTACGTGAGGAAGCCAGCTGTATACTGTCACTAGTACCCAGCAGAGGAAGTTCTTTATTAAAAATTAAAACGGGCACCTGGGTGGCTCAGCTGGTTAAGCATCTGCCTTCGGCTCAGGTCATGATCCCAGGGTCCTGGGATCGAGTCCCTCATCGGGCTCCCTGCTCAGCGGGGAGCCTGCCGCAGCTACTGCTAGACTCAAACATCAGCTCCCCGAAGGGCATCTTGGAGCCCCATGGGGTGGGTGCTGGCCGCTCCTCCACCTCCTTGATGTAGGCCGAGAAGATCCTGCCAGGAGAGACCAAGAGAAACAAACCACAGTGGCCGAGGGGGTCCGGGAGGCTCCTGGCAAGGGACTTCTCTCCCAGACTGGCCTCGTGAGGCCAGAGTGCCCAGCCGGGGGCTTGTGGCTACAGAGCCGGCTTTTTGTGACCTGCATCTTCACACTTGGACGAGTCTGGGGCTCGGGGCCAGCACGGGGTCCCTGGGCAGATCAGGTGCCCACAAACCAGCTTCCCCACCCACCAACAGAGCCTCAGCCGGACGTTACCCCTCTCCATGTCCAGGGGCCGCCCCTGGAGCCTGCTGGAGCCTTGTTTCCTGGGCGGCGCTTCAGAGACCCAGGCCATCTGTCGGGAGCTGGGAGCCCCTGGCCTCAGGAAGCTCCTGGGTGCCAGGCCCAGAAGTAGAAACAGCCAGTGGGGACTGAGGACACTACCTTCCAGGCCCGAGGTAATGAGGCAGGTTTGTCTAAGCTTCTCAGTCATTTATGCCTTAGTGTGAGAAGCATAGCCACTCATTGTCCTTCAGGTGAAGACAAGGAAACTGAAGGAGAGGAGGACCTAGGAAAGAGTCCTTGCCGACATGAAGAGGTAGCAAGGGGTGCATCCTGCCAAGATTCTCCACGGGCTGCAGACAGGACCCAATGGTGACCCCTCCAAAAGCAAAGCCTCACAGATGCTGGACTGAGGCCCCAGGTCATCCTGCTGGCGGCAGAGCTGGTCTGGAAGGCAGGGCGCGGGGCTCCCTCCACCCTGGTTCCCTTGCTGATGGCAGGGCCCCCCGCTCACCTGCACTTGAAGTCACAGGAGCCTGCGGCCAGGAGCACGTTGTTGGGGTGCCAGTCCAGGCTGAGGACAGTGGAACGAATGGGCTTCTTGATGTGCTTGCACACCCACCTGGACACACGGACAGGTAGAGAGGACGGGGACCGGCACTCTCAGCACCCAAGGCCTCAGTGCCCCAAGGACTCTACCTTCCCACGGGGCCCTGCAGACCCCCTAGGGTCCCCAGAGGGAGAGGCCTGGGCACTCCTGGCCCACAGGCCTCCCAGGGCCTGGATCAGGCCAGTGGGGAGCCAGGGTCCCCTCCAGCTGGGAACTCTATCCCCGGTAGCCTTTAAACCTCACGACAAGCCTGGGGTAGGCTGTCACATAGCAGCTAACTGGCCAGGGCGGGATTCGATCTCAGGTCCCCCAGACTCTAGCCTAGCCTCTGCCCTCAGGGACCCAGGGGGAAAAAGCAGGACAGGCTGGACATCTCAGACAAGTGACCTGACCTCAGGGCGACTTACTTTGCTCATCTGAAAAGTGGGGACAACGGAAGCCCAGTCCAGAGGGCTGTCAGGGGGTCCATGTGAGTGTGTGCGCAGGGCTTTAGGCAATGCTCACAGAGGCGGTCCTGGGGTGATCTGTGCCCTTAGTTCCAAGACAGGGCTGTGGGAGTGCCCGGCACCTCACCTACAAGGTCCAGAGAGGACATACTTCCCCAGGGTCTTGTGAACAGGGCTCCTGACGCCCCGTCCAATGCTCTCTGGGACACTAGCCCACTGCCTTTTGGTCTGCAGCCCCGGGGTCCATCCCAACCCACTCTGACCCTGACCCTGCCCAGGCACCCACCAGTCATTTTCCTGCTCAAAATAGCAGATGGAGATGACACGGGAGCCACTACCCACAGCGAACTTGTTCTCCTGGGGGGCCCAGCGCACACAGCGAGCAGCGCGGTTGATCCTCAGGATGACGAGGGTGGGTTTCCACGTGCGGCCCTTCAGCGTCCACACGTAGGCATTGCGGTCTGTGCCACAGGTCACGATTCGGTTGCTCTCGGGGGCCCAGTCGATGCCTGTGGGATGGGGAGGAAACAGGCTGAAGCCATCCAAGCAGGAAGGCTCTCTGGCATCCACGTAGGAGGGGCTTGAGGCCACAATTTGGATGCAAGCTGCTCCAGGGGGTGCCACTTAGAACGAATACTGAGAGTGTTACGTCTCTCCAAAATACCACCAAACATGCTGGAAAGCCAAGAGACAGAAAAGAAATGGGCCCTTGGTAATGCCGAACTGAGCTGCTGGATCACGCCTTCCCTGAAGCCCAAAACCTCGTCAGTTTTCCAGTAACATGAGCCAACATGAGTCAACATGATCCCTTTGTAACTTGAGCCAGTTTGAGTTAGGGTTGTGTCACTTGCAACCCAAACTATCATACCGAACACAGTGATTGGGTGGCCCTGCGCCATCCCCGTCTCCTTTCCAGAGAGTGATCCCAGTCAGCCTGACGTACCTGTCACCTGCCCATTGTGCTCCTTGAGCTCGTGCACCTTGACCCACTTGGCCCCGCTCTTCTCATAGATGTGCACCTCGTGGTTGTTGGGGCAGATGGCAATCTCTGCAGGAGAGAAGGGTGGGGGTAGGGAGTGGGAGGAGGTGTGCGTGCCCAGCCTCCCCCTTCCCTCAAGACCCCTCTCCCAGGAGCACCCTTCACCCCTCTGCCTTGGCGTGGGGCTCCCTGAAGCACCTTGCAACCCCTCCCCTGGGACTAGCCATCCTTCACCTGCACCCGTAAGCACCCCCACAGCAGTCTTCTGCCCTCTGCTCCCAACTCCAGCCCTGGGCTCCTTGCTGCTCCAGACAGTGCCACGATCTCCTGCCGCTGGACCTTGGCATGGCCGGCTCCCTCACCTCCTCCAAAACACCTCCCTGGCCACCTTTTCCAAACCATCCCCTCTGCCTCCAGTGCTTTCCCTCCCCAGCGGCACCTGCAGCAGGGCCCCCTGGCTGGCTGCCCCGCGTGTGCCCGGAGCTCGTCCATCCCCTCTTCCACACTGGCGACCGGAGGTGAAGGAGGGGGACGGCCAGCCCTCAGAGCCCACAGTCCAGGGTGCCTGGCCGGTTTACCGCCTGTACGCGCTCCGGGGGCTCCCGCATCCCCCCTGCCATCCTGTGGCAGTGGCACTCACGGGTGCGGTCCTTGTTCCAGGCGTGGCAGCTGATGGGTTCCACCAGGAAGCTGTGGTAGGCCATGGCCGCTCAATTCCTGTGCTGGAGAGGGGAAGGGACCCCCAGTCAGCCCCGCCTCTGATCCCAGAATGAGGCCCCAGCCGACCTTGTGGGAGGGCAGCAGCGGCCAGCCTGGCCTCCCCGTGAGTGGGGTGTGCTGAGCCTGTGTCGCTCATCATCTGTGCCTCAGTTTCCTCAAGGGTAGAGGGCCCCCTCCCCTGCAGGAGGATGGAGTGAGGGGCGTCTGGGGGCTCAGTCGCTGAAGCGTCTGCCTTCAGCTCGGGTCGTGATCCCGGGGTCCTGGGATCAAGCCCTGCATTGGGCTCCCCGCTCAGCGGGAAGCCTGCTTCTACGTCTCCCTCTGCCCCTCCCCCCAACTCGTGCTCGCTCTCTCAAATAAAGAAAATCTTAAAAAAAAAAAAAAA